CAAATATTCCAATTATCTGGCGGTCCCATAATTTACTTTAAAAATCACATAATATTGGGCCATTCGGTTGTTTCCAGTGTTCTTGAGAAATGTTGGTTGTATTTCTGTGTTGGTTTCCGGAGGATGCCGTAGCCTGGTATTTTCAAGAGCTGCCCGGGCTGTTCGAAGAGTGGCTAATTTTCTACTGAAGGGACTGTGCCCGAATCCCTGTCCCCCAAGTAAGAACACCCTATGCCACTGAAGACAGGTGAGAATTTTGAAAAGTCTCTTGAGGCCGGGCGCGGTGGCTCAAGCCTGTAATCCCAGCACTTTGGGAGGCCGAGATGGGCGGATCACGAGGTCAGGAGATCGAGACCATCCTGACTAACACGGTGAAACCCCGTCTCTACTAAAAAATACAAAAAACTAGCCGGGCGAGGTGGCAGGCGCCTGTAGTCCCAGCTACTCGGGAGGCTGAGGCAGGAGAATGGCGTAAACCCAGGAGGTGGAGCTTGCAGTGAGCTGAGATCCGGCCACTGCACTCCAGCCTGGGCGACAGAGTGAGACTCCGTCTCAAAAAAAAAAAAAAAGAAAAAGAAAAAGAAAAGTCTCTTGAGTATCTGAATTCTCAGTGAGGGTCCAGAATCTTATTCAATTTTTTTAAAACTCGTATTATTTCCCCTTAGTTTAGTAAGTAAAACGTATCTTCTGTTAAAAAAAAAAAAAAAGTAGTACATGAAAATGAACAAACAAGAAAAATAAAATTAATCTAAAATCACACCGCAGCTTGTCAAGTATTTATCTTTGCACACTACACACTATCTTATTACCTGTTGTTTTACTCAGTGACATAATATGCACATTTTCCTATTAATAAATGTAGGTCATCATACCAGATGGTAGCTGATCTCTGCCCAACTGCTCTCCCACCCTCAGGCCTGATCCCTACAGGCAATTGCTTTTCACTGATTTATGTTTGCATGAATATAAAGCGTGGTTCCTCCTTCTCCATTGTGCCACACTTACCAGAGACTAGTTCTTGTACTTTCCGAACTCAAAGCAGCTGCCCTGCCATCAAGGAGTTGGCCTTCTATTGGAGAAGTATATTATTGAAAAAAATAAATAAATAAAATAAATATGTTAAAAAGTGACCCAAAGTGGTGTTTTTAATAAGGGGGAATAAGGAAATGTGGGAATAAGGAAATATCCAGACCACTTTACAAACCCAAACCCCTTTTCCTATTTATGACACAGCCTATGGTGTTGAGTTTTTCTTGTGTTTCTCTACCTTGAGCTGGTAGAGAAAGGACCTATTGAGTTAGCTATGCCCATCTATGATCCCCCGGTTAAATTTCTGCCTCTGACTTTTAAGAAGACACTTTTACCTCATCTTCTTCCTAATTTTCCCAAAAAGGAGAGTCCTATCCAAGTTGAGTCAGAAGCTAAGTCTAAACTTATTTTATTTTATTTATTTTATTTTATTTTATTTTATTTTATTTTTGAGACGGAGTCTCGCTCTGTAGCCCAGGCTGGAGTGCAGTGGCCGGATCTCAGCTCACTGCAAGCTCCGCCTCCCGGGTTTACGCCATTCTCCTGCCTCAGCCTCCCGAGTAGCTGGGACTACAGGCGCCCGCCACCTCGCCCGGCTAGTTTTTTGTACTTTTTAGTAGAGACGGGGTTTCACTGTGTTAGCCAGGATGGTCTCGATCTCCTGACCTCGTGATCCGCCCGTCTCGGCCTCCCAAAGTGCTGGGATTACAGGCTTGAGCCACCGCGCCCGGCCTTAAACTTAGTAAAGACAGGACTCTGAGCCCCTCCAGTCTGCCCAGACAGACTTTTTTTGTTTTTGTTTTTGAGATGGAGTCTCACCCTGTTGCCCAGGCTGGAGTGCAGTGGCACCATCACGGTTCATTGCAGCCTTGACCTCCCTGGGCTCAGGTGTCCTTCCACCTCAGCCTCCTGAGTAGCTGGGATTACGGGCGTGCGCCAGCACACCTGGCTTCTTGTTTTGTATTTTTTACAGACAGGGTTTCACCATGTTTCCCAGTCTGGTCTCAAACTCCTGGGCGTAAGCCATCAGCCCGCCTTGGCCTCCCAAAGTGCTAACATTACAGGCATGAGCCACCACACTCAGCTCAGACGGACTAAAGGGATCTTTATACTATAAAGGGATCTTATACCCGGAGGAACTGTGTGCTTAGATATTACTATACTAAGACCACAAGTGGTAAAAATCAGATAAAGCAGTAGTCATCTTAGTTTGTGATAAAATTAATGCAGAAAAAGTAAAAAATGGTTCGACGTTATAAGCTCTCTGAGGAAATAGGCAGTTTCAGTTAACACTGCTGCGGCAATCCCTATCTCACAGCTTCAGCTTAATCCCATAGCAACACTCAGAACTCATTTATATTATAATTACAGTTGACCCTCAAACAATGCAAGGGTTAGGGGCACTGCCCTCCCCCTTCATCTTGTACAATAGAAAATTCTCCTATAGCTTTTGACTTCCCCCAAGCTGAACTAACTTAACTACTAATAGCCTCTATTGACCAGAAGCCTTACTGATAACCTAAACAATTGATTAACACATATTTTATATATGTATTATACACTGTATTTCTACAATACAGTAAGATAAAAGACAATGTTAAGAAAATCATAGCCGGGCGCGGTGGCTCAAGCCTGTAATCCCAGCACTTTGGGAGGCCGAGACGGGCGGATCACAAGGTCAGGAGATCGAGACCATCCTGGCTAACATGGTGAAACCCCGTCTCTACTAAAAATACAAAAAACTAGCCGGGCGAGGTGGCGGGCGCCTGTAGTCCCAGCTACTCCGGAGGCTGAGGCAGGAGAATGGCGTGAACCCGGGAGGCGGAGCTTGCAGTGAGCTGAGACCCGGCCACTGCACTCCAGCCTGGGCGACAGAGCGAGACTCCGTCTCAAAAAAAAAAAAAAAGAAGAGAACATACATTGTCAGTACTGTACTGTATTTATCCATACCAGAAGTTCACACCATCCATTTACAAGATATATCATCTGTCTGAAATGGTGGCAACTGCAGTGTCTGACTGCAAACGGTGGTACATATCAAGCCATTCAACTTTTTCTTTTAATGTCATGACTTTTCTCTTCTTCTTGGGAGCACTTCCAGAATCACTAGTGGCACTTTGTATGGGTCCCATGATGTTATTCAAGGTTTATGGTATTGTACTAAACACGATGAAAAATAGCGAGAACCAGGGGAGATCACTTTTTACTGCAATATGCAATTTACTGAAGAGACAACTGCTCATAAGGAGATTGGGGTCATGTGGTGTTTTAAGCAGATACTCCCAATACTTGAGCTCACAATAGCAACAGAGTAGTACAGTATGTACTGCTGTTAATTTTATGCAGCTATGATTTAATACTGCATTCTTATATTTGCTTACATTTTACTCGACTTCAAATGGTGCCATGTATGGTCTGTGTTTGTGTGCGTAAGTTTTGATAAATTTTAACTTTTTATAATAGATTTGTGTATCTTTTATGGTAGTAAATGATAAAGGCTTAGTATCTACATATATTTTATGCATTCATGATATGACTTTTTCTTAATTGTTTTAATATTTCTAGATATGCACGCAGTTCATCTGTTTTTTCAAATTGTCTCAAATCTCCAAAAATGTTTTCAATATATTTATTTTTAGAAATCTCTGTATGTGGAGTCACACAGTCTAAACTCATGTGTTTCAAGGGTCAACTGTACTTATTATAGTCCCACAATATCTTATTATTTTTGCTTTAAATGGTCAATTACACTTTAAAGAGATTTTTCTAAATAACAAAAGAGTCTTTTATTACTACTCAAATAGGTACCACTTCTGATTCTCTTCTTTCCTTTGTATAAATCTAGATTTCCATCTGATATCATTTTCCTTCTGCCTCAAGGACTTCCTTTAACATTTCTTATAGTACAGATTTGCTGGTGAAAAGCTTTTAGCTTTTATATGTCTGAAGAAGTCTTTATAAGGTTTTCACTGGGTATAAAATTCTACGTTGACAATTTTTTTCTGTCAGTACTTTAAAGATGTTGCTTCACTTTCTTCTGGTTTGCATTGTTTCTGACAAGAAGTCTTTCTACTTTCATTCTTATCTTGTTTATTCCATACATAATAAACCTTTTTTTTTTTTTTCCTGACTGCTTTTAAGGTTTTTCTCGTTATCTCTGGCTTTGGACCATTTGTCATGTGCCGTGGTATCGTTTTCTTCTTGTGTCTTGTGCCTGGGTTTGTTGAGCTTCTTGGATCTCTGGATTTAGAATTTTCATCAAAATTGGACAATTTTCAGACATTATTTCTTCAAAAAAATTTTTGTTCTCGTATTTCTTTCCTGTCTGTTAATGGATTGCATTCATACGTTGAAACTAACCCCTTTCAATCTGCTTTTGAAGATGGGGCCTTTAAAGGGGTAATTAAGGTTAAACAAAGTTCTAAGGGTGGGGCCCTAATCCAGTATGACTGGTGTCCATATAAGAAGAGGAAGAGATAACAGGGAGGCACACATAAAGAAAAGGCCATCAGACGAGACAGCAAGAAGGTGGCTGTCCACTGGCCAAAGAGAGAGGCCTCAGGAGAAACAGAACCTGTCAGCACTTTGATCTTAGACTTACAGCCTCCAGGAACGTGAGAAAATACATTTTTATTTAAGCTACCCAGTCTGTGGTATTTTGTTATGGCAGCCCTAGCAAATTAATATACTCTCTCTCAGGACTTCAATTACATATATATTAGGTTACTTGCAGTTATTCCACTGCTTATTGAAACTGGTTTTTTTTTTTTAGTCTTTTTTTCTCCCTATGTTTCATTGTGAACTTTTTTTTTTTAGTTTCCTTCAAGAAAATATTTATTGCACATTATTAGTGATTATGTTTTATAGCAAAATTAAATATATATGCTTTTCACAAACACAAAATGGGAAGCAAGGCATCTATCAAATTTCAATGTTGAACCAAATCCTGGTTTTCAGAATTCAGCCGCCAGTCATGGTTCTGCACCAAGGCCTCCAGTCCATGATTTCCAGTTGTTGAGGATCTTTTCAGTAATTGGAACAAAATCTTCTTTATATGTAACAATTGTTTCCACATAAAACCCTTTTGGGGGTTCAGATAGTTCACTGAGTACTCCACTTGTTGAGCCATCCTTTTGCTGTACTTCAATACCTGATGGCTTTGCCATTTTCCAGCCAAAGCAAAGCACTGAGCCCACCAGAGACCAGGTGCCGATCCCATAGACCACCAACATTCGCCGGTACCGGGCCGTGAACTGGTTTTGATACTTGGGTACGCTGGCGAGGGCCTCGATTCTCGCAGGCCCACTGTGGAGGCGGCTCATTGAAATTTCTATTGCTGTGTCTTCAAAATCCATAAGTTTTTCTTCTGCGTGGTTTAATCTGCCATTATTCCCACCCAACGAATTTTCATCTCAGATGTATTTTTATCTCTAAAAGTTTGGTTTGGGTATCTAAATTTTTAAAAAAATTTTTGTGAGTACATAGTAGGTATATATATTTATGGGATATATGAAATATTTTAGTACAGACAGGCAATGCATAATACATCAGGGTAAATGGGGTATTTATGACCTAAAGCACTTATCCTTTGTGTTACAAATAATTCAATTATATTCTTTTAGTTATTTTTAAATGTACAATAAATTATTGTTGACTGTAATCACCCTGTTGTGCTATCAAATACTAGATCTTATTCATTCTAACTATATTTTTGTACCCATTAACCATGCCCACACTCCACCCCGCCCCCAACTACCATTCCCAGCCTCTGTTAACCATCCTTCTACTCTCTATCTCAATGAGTTCAATTGTTTTAATTTTTAGTTTCCACAAATCAGTGAGAATATCTGAAGTTTGTCTTTCTGTGCCTGGATTATTTCACTTAACATAATGATCTCCAGTTCCATCCATGCAAATGACAGGATCTCATTCTCTATTCATGGCTGTATAGTACTTTATTGTGATATGTACCACATTTTCATTGTCCATTTGTCTGTTAATGGACACTTAGGTTGCTTAGGGAATCTAAATATTTTATTAATGCATTTTATATTTTAGAACAGTTCTAGATTTACAAAAAACTGAGAAGAGGCAGGGCACAGTGGCTCAGCCTGTAATCCCAGAACTTTGGGAGGCCGAGGTGGGTGGATCACCTGAGGTCGAGAGTTCGAGACCAGCCTGACCACCATGGAGAAAACCCATCTCTACTAAAAATACAGAATTAGCCAGGTGTGATGGCACATGCCTATAGTCCCAGCTATTCAGGAGGCTAAGGCAGGAGAATCGCTTGAACTCAGGAGGTGGAGATGGCGGTGAGCCGAGATCATGCCATTGCACTCCAGCCTGGGCAACAAGAGTGAAACTCCATCTAAAAAAAACAAAAACAAACAAAAAAAAACTGAGAAGATAGTTGTTATGAACTGACTCATGTCCTCTCAAAATTTATACGTTGAGGCCCTAGCTTCCAAAGTGACTGTATTTGGAGACAGGGCTTTTAGGGAGGTAATTAAGGTTAAATGAGGTCAGAAGGATGAGGCCCTAATCCAATAAGACTGATGTCCTTATTTTTAAAAAGGGAAAAGACACCCCTCTGTCACTCTCCTTCTCTACAAGTGTAGAGAAGAGGCCGTGTGATGACGCAGTGAGGAGGTAGCTGCCTACAAGCCAGGAGGGGAGTCCTCAACAGAAACCAGCCCTGATAACTCCTTGATCTTGGACTTCTTGCCTCCAGAACTTAAAGAAAATAAATTTTTGTTGTTTAAGCCACCCAGACTGTGATGGTTTTTATGGCAGTCTGAGCTGATTAATACAGAGCACAGGCTGGGCACGGTGGCTCACACCTGTAATCCCAGCACTTTGAGAGGCTGAGGTGGGAGGATCACTTGAGGCCAGGGGTTTGAGACCAGCCTGGGAAACATAGGGAGATCCCATCTCTACAAAAAGTAAAAATAAATGAGCCAGACATGATGGCACATGCCTGTGGTCCCAACTACTCAGGAGGCTGAGGTGGGAGGATTGCTTGAGCTCAGGAGGTCCAGGCTGCCATGAGCTGTGATCACGCCACTGCACTCTAGCTGGGCAACAGCAAGACCCTGTCTCAAAATAAATAAATAAATAAATAAATACAGTGTACAAATATATCTGTTCAAGCCATGCTTTCAATTCTTTGGGGGCATATACCAGAAGTAGAATTGCCAGTAGTTCTATATTTAATTTTTGGAATAACTGCCATACTGTTTTACATGTGATTAATTATTAGTAACAATAAAAACAAGGCAACGGTATGTTGTTTAAAAAAATAATAAAACTAGAATTTTAGTCATGCCTTTGCTACCAGCTCACTTCACTATGTGACCCTGACAAAATATTAAATCTCTTGGGGCCTCAGTGTCCTCATCTGATATAAGAGTTGTGCTGAATGATTTCATGGTCACATCAGTGCCAAAGTTTCTTGGCTCTATGATTCTAGGTGCTAGGATACCTGGTATCCCGAGTTGTGCATACTTGACAATACTACTGCTTTTTAAGTTGCTTGCTATTAAGGGCTGAGACAGGGTAAGGTCCCTAGTGGACTGAATTGAGTGTGGTGATCTCCAGAATGGCCAAAGGCAAAAGGCACATCGAAGGTTGGGACAATAAGGGTAATGCTAGTCATCAAAACTAAGGGTCAGGAACAAGGGCTTTGTGTAGGAGCCAGGGATACCAGGAAGAGGTCAGGCTAGAGGTTGCCTAGCTAGACTGCAAAGCTGAGTGGTGACTGGCTTCCTTATGTTGGTCATAGGTGGTGCTGGACCCCAGAGTTCTGTTAGACTTCTCTGTGTCTCAGTCTCCCTTGCTGTAAAACAGTGCTATTAATTGCTGTTTTTCTACCAGTTAGGCTAGAGATTAATGGAAATACAAACTTTGAAAAGAACTAGACCTTAATTTTTTCTCTCAAATAAAAAACTAAATGTGAAATTTATTTAAGTTGGAGTAAAAATAAAAATTGGTGAATTTGAGTAAGAGTATATGGGAGTTCTTTGCACTATTCTTGCAACTTTTCTGTAAGTTTAAAATTACATAATTGGATTAATGTGGACATAAAGATGGGAACAACAGACACTGGAGACTCTAAAAGGAGGAAGGGAGAGAGGGTGGGCAAGGCTGAAAACCTTCCTGTTGGGGGCTATGTTCACTATCTGGGTAATGGGACCAATAGAAAGAAGCCCAAACCCCAGCCCCATATGACATACGCTTGTAACAAACTTACACATGGGCCCCCTGAATCTAAAATAAAAATGAAAATTTAAAGATAAAATTACATCAAAACTATAAGTTACCAAGGAAAAGAGGAAAAACTTATTTAAGAAGGAGAATGAGGCCAGGTGCAGTGGCTCACACCCTATCATCCCAACATTTTGAGAGGCCTAGGCAGGAGGATCACTTGAGCCCAGGAATTAGAGACCAGCCTGAGCCCAGGAGTTAGAGACCAGCCTGGGCAACGTAGTGAGACCTTGTCTCCACTAAAAATTAAAAAAAAATTAGCTGGGCATATGCCACACACCTATAGTCCCAGTTACTCAGGAGCTGAGGCAGGAGAATAGCTTGAACCCAGGAGTTCGAAGCTGCAGTGAGCTGTAATTGTGCAACTGCACTCTAGCCTGGGTGACAGAATGAGACCCTGTCTAAAAAAGAAGAGAAAAGAAATTTACCCACAGTTTCTTTAGAGTTGATTTTGGCCCAGCATGGTGGTATGTGTCTGTAGTCTCAGCTACTCTGGAGGCTGAGGCAGGAGGATCATTTGAGCCCAGAAGTCTGAGGCTGTAGTGTGTTATGGTCATAACTGTGAATAACCCCACTGCAGGACAGCCTGGGCAACGTAGGGAGATCCGTCTCTAAAAACAAACAAACAAAAAAAGGATTGATTTTGTATGCATAGATGAACTGCTTCCAAGGCAAAACATCCAAATCATCTTATTAAAATGTCTTTCGACATTGACCCTAGAAGTACATCCAAATACCAATGTATTCATATTAACAACTCTAATTTGTCATTAGAAATTCAAGCAGCCACACTTCCAGATTTATCAGCTGATGATAAACCCTTGCATTGTACACTTAAATATTGTGAATTTTATTATGTCAATTATAATCAATAATTTTTTTAAAAAAGAAAACTATAAAAATAAGTCATTCCTTTTTATTGCCCCAATATGTTTATCCCAGTGGACATCTGGTGTTAGGATCACAGTAACTGCCATTGGTAATAAATAATAAACAGCATCAATTGATAAATGCTGAACATGGGACGCTTAGAATGACCTAAATTCCCACCTTCTCTCTTTTGTCAGTATAAATTAAAAATAAGAGAGAGCAGGTGGTTAACATAATGGAATTTGCTTCACCAGGAGGCTGCTATGGTGAATTATTTGATCTGAAATAAAAAGGTGATAACGATGGGGATCATTTGAGATCAGATGTATCAACTCTCCTTTGTATTCTAGAGCAAATATTAGAGGGTTGAATGATTCTCAAGCTGTAGATATTTCTCAGGTCTATTTTTAAGCTCAAACTGGCTCTTTCCCAGAAAGAAGAGAAACAAAAATCTACTGGCAGTAAAGCCTTTACCTTTTTTCATTGAATTTTCTGAAGGGATTAAAAAAAATCTTCTGAAAATCCAGGACAGATGGAGCATTATGAAGAACACTGCAAAATAGAATACTTTCAGAGAGTACTTAGAAGAAAATAAAATGTTCAAAAAGACCTTGTCTTCAAAAAAAAAAAAAAAAAATCGGTTGACTAAAGACAAAGTATCTGATGTAGTAAGTATTTGCCTTTCTTTGAAGGAACTGGAAACAATAAAACCCAGTCACATTAAATTGTTCTCAAACTCGGTGTATTAGGCACCAGTCCAAAGGATTTCCACCTGAAAAGTTGGTAGAATTCCTTTTAGCAATAAAATAGTTGAATGATTTGGGTAATGTTGGAGAGAATTGATAAAAATGTGCTCATTAACATTCATTCTCTCTTTTTCCTAACTCTGAAACTATTCCTTAGATATCAGAAAAGTTAAATTTAATACAGTGGAAATTCTCCAAGGGGAAAGGAATAGCAGAAAAAATCCAGATGTGGCAGCCCTGTTGTGTGCTCACAGAGGTTGCACAATCTCCACTTGTAGATGGGTGAACAGGTATTAGAATCAGTTACCTGGCTCTTTGTAACACGTACAGAATGTGAGGTGGCCTATGCCAGGCTGGAGGGAGAGTGAGAAGGGCTCTGACACTGCTTCCCAGTTCACCATGACTCATTGCTACCAAACCATTGGGAATGAGCCAGTATAAGGGAACATG